TATAAAGAGTACTATGTTTATAATGGATTAACTACTGAGGTTATTTTTTGGCTTTGAGCGTAACAAAATATTTGAAATTTATAGAAATAGAAAGAGAATTGATGAGTGTCAACCTGATCACAAGTGCATGTCAATGGGCCAATGATGGCAACTACGACTCAAGAGATGATTTTTCAACACCACTTTTTAATATTTTTAATACAAATGCATAAAAGTAAATTTGATCATATTTTATAAAACATAATGGTAGTTAGTAGTTACTAGTTATGATATAAAAGTGTCCATCTTATATTGAGAAAACAATCCTTACCCATGATAAAAATTTCTCCCCCTAATTTTACTTTTAATCATCATAGTCATGGCTTGCCCAATTAATTCTTTGACAATGACATCCTACTAAACCCTTAAGAAAACAAACTGATTTGGTATGCCATTCACTTTCCTATGTCCTTCATTATATGTTTTCTTTCAAAAAGAAACATTAATTCGAAGTCAATAATACATAATTGTATAAGAATCAAGGGAAATTTGGTGAATTTATACCACCTTAAGTACGTATTCATTTTTCTATAAGAAAACAGAAATAAGATTAAACAAAAACTAATCTTCAAAATATGGAACTAATACATAAATTTCAATGAGTAAATGATGATCATTGGACTACTAGTACAAATATGTAACTTTTCTATGATGTACGTATGTAAGATACACATGTATCGATTCTTATTTACATACCTTTTATATACAACAAAGTCATGTACATCTATTTTTACGCTTTAAAACTCAAGTGAGAGTGTGTGAGGAAAAGAAGAGAACACAAACCATTGGCTTAAGACTTAAGACCTTTCCTTCAAGGGCTTAAAGGCAGCCAAAACAACGGCTACTTTGCACACAAGAAACCCCAAAGTCCCCACCACAATCTCTCTTGGTGTGACTGCAAATGCAGCATGATCTTCTCCAATGTAACCTCTAACGGCTAAAACAGACAATCCTACGGCCAATGCGAGACTCAAAACCGGAATCTTGAGTCTTCCGCTCAGTGTTTGATTGGAGTTTCCGGATGAAGAAGATCCCGGTGCTTGCAGTTCATCGACTGATCTCTGTAGGAGCAGCAAGTAGAGAAATCCCATTGTTCCACCGAAGAAGAAAGCAATTGCAGAGTTTTTTCCTAGTGAGAAGGAAAAGACAGAACTTCCAAGAAGGATGAGACTCGCATCGTAGAGAAGCAGAGAGAGTTTCAAGTTTGCGTACTCTTCCATGCTTTGCTCGTTGGAAACGACTGCATTGTTAAGATTCAGAGCTGAAGACGAAGAGATCTGATCGGAGCCAGTGAGTTCAGTGATACGGTTAGGTCTGAGTTCCACCATCGATAGCTCACTGCTCTCTCCGAGCATGATTTCATCAACTTCAAAATCATATCGGTAACAAAAGGTCTCTGCATCGCGTGGATTAACCACCCACAAGCTCACTCCTCCAACTCTCCATTGACCTAAACATGAAAACATCCGGTGTTCATTAACATCTGTGACTCCTAAAAGCTGATTCTATAAACAAGTTTCGTGTCAAAGAAGCTAACCAGACTCAAGACTGATCCAAAAAGCTCTGATTTTGCCGAGTTTTGGTCCTTCAAATGTGAATTCATCAACAGAGCCTCTCTGGAACTTGAAGATTTCACCATTCTCCGTGACGTCTGGATCCAAAGACTCATTTTTTGAAAAATTTGCAGGTATTGTCTGTAACACCGAATCTCCGTTTTCTTCTATCAAGCATATGAGAACTCTAGCATTCACATCGCTGATGCCTGAACCGAATAAATTACTTGTCTGCAGCTTAACCTTATAAAGAGATCGAGATTCGCTCACAGTGAAAGATGGATTCGCACTACAAACTTTCACTTCTTCTGCTGGTAGGAGACGCAGAGGTCTTGCGTAACTCTGGAAATCTAAAAAAAGCATAAAACTTCAGCAGTTTCAGTCGATTAGAGAGCAAAACCCATCACTCAAAATCGAAAGCTTCGGAATTGATCAAGCGGAAATTAAAAGCAGATTCGATCGAGAATTAGAATTGGCGAACTGATATTACCTTGATAATCGGCTGTCTTTGAGCAGACTGCACCGAATTGAGAACGACGAATTCGATAAGAACGATTTCTTCTTTTATGAAATTGATTTAATGGGTTTTTCGCGAACCTCGCGAAAGATAGAGGCTTTAGACAAATTGATTCCGTCGCCATTACAATTGCAGCTCTCGCGGTTGAAGAGAGACGCCACACGGCACAGAAGAAGAAAATGCTGAAGACCTTTGGAATTAGAGGCTTCCAGTTCCATGAGAGGAAAAAAATCAAAAAAAAATTCTGGACATATAACCGATCCGAAATTATCGAACCAAACCGAAATTATCGAAAGAATATGTAAATCTCTAAACCGAAAAATATGTATCTCTCTCTCTGTGACTTTGGCTCCAAGTTTTAAACCCTAAATCGCGCTACTTATATATACATCTCTCTCGGTGCCTTTGGCTCCAAGTTTTCTTTAGCTACTCTCGATGGGTTTGTCGTTCCTTCCATCGGTGACCAAACGGAAGAGAACAGAGAGAAGAAAGGAGATTCGTATGGGTTTGTCTCGAAACAAGAGAGGGAGAAGAAGACGACCGGAGAAGGAGATTAGTAGAAAGAAGAGAAGAAGACGAATAAATATGGGGATTCCTAAGGACGTGGTGATGGAAGAGATCCTCACGAGGCTTTCTCCTAAATCCCTGATGAGATTCAAATGCGTCTCAAAGCTTTGGTCATCGCTCATCAGCTCAAGATACTTCAAGAACCGTTTCCTCACGGTCCCATGACTCCCATCCCAACCGCGTCGTCGAATTTACATGTGTTTGCGGGCTGGCCGTGACTACCGTAACTCTGTAACACTATCGTTGTCTCCAGACACTACTTCTTGTTTTGTAGTTGACCACGATCTGACCATCCCACGTATGGGTAGCTACTTGCACCAAAATCTTGGTGGCTTCATGTGCTACATCTGTCTTAAAAAGCCGCGGATTTTTAACCCTGCCACCAGACAACTTGTCACCTTACCCGCCGCCATCAAACCTATACCAGCTCCTCCAGATGAAGCTGCTCTAAAAGAAGTCCAGTACTATTTCGGACACGACCCTCTTACCGACCAGTACAAAGTGGTCTGCTCAACTGGTGTCTACTTGAACAATCCGCTACCAGTGGGGATAAGACCAATAAGGTCAGAGCATCGGGTCTTTGTCCTAAAACCTAGAGGAGGAGGAGGCTCTTGGAAAAAGTTGGCTCCTCCAACTCCACCGAGCTTTCTTCCTCACATTCCGAGCCACGGAGGAGTGAGTATAGATGGAGTTATATATTATCTGGGTTGGATTAATACGCGAAGATCTATGCTTGTGAGTTTCCACATTAGATCCCAAGACTTCAAAATGATCCAGTTACCTCTCAGGGAGGAGAATGTAAATCGCGTGGAGAAGGTGAGTCTTATAGAGTATGGTGGCAAAGCAACTATCGTTGACCAAACCAATCTTAAAAACAAGGGTATGCTGGATTTATGGGACGTCGATGAGAAGAAGAAGTGGTCGAAGAAGACTCTGGTTTTGAAGCCTTCTCAGCTGCATCTGGTCAATAACACTGAATTCAGTCTCAAAGGTACAACTCAAGATGGCAAAGTTTTCTTGATACCAAAGGTTTTGGTTTCTCCCTTTCACATTCTCTCTTATGATCTTCGAAGCAATGATTTGAGAAAGATCGATATCAAAGGTGTACCGGAGCACTGGTTTAGTAAGGACAAATCCACCGTTAGGGTGATGCTGGCGGAACAGAGTGAGAGTCTCGTGTCCTTGGAGACTTGAATTTAGTCATTCCTTTCTGTCTCTTTTGCATGTTATTTTCTTTTTTTTTGGTGGTGATCAAGAAGACGATTTCTTTACTACATTAATTATTGGTTTATCGTGTTCATCAAGCATTCTCCCTCTCTCTTTGATATAATTAAGTAATTAAGTCACTTAATTATATTCACACCTCTAACCTTAATCTAACAATACCAACAATGACCGACTCTTAACTAGCACAATGTACACATTTATGATCTCAGATAGATATACTCAATGTATACACAAGCTTATCTGGAACAGAAGCTGAAACACTAACCTACTTCAATCTAGATCATGTAGTTCTCTTCTTGGATTGTGCTTGGATCGTGTCCTGCAAAAGAGAAAAAACACACATCAAGCAAAGAAGACACACAATGTTTAAAGCGTGAAACATGTGGTGTGATCTGATGTGTGATCAGTGCACAGACTGTCGATATTGTTGATATTCTGTACAAATTTTGGACAGTAAATTGACGAACAGTGTTTGATTCAGAACTTGACATTAAAATGGACTTAACTCTAATTACTCATTAAAACAAAAAAAAATTGGAGTCAAATCAAGCTCCAACAACATAAAATTTTCAGCGAAAACTTATAGTATAGATTTGAACCGAGTGAATCGCCAAACTTGGAACAAAATGCTGACCAAGGTTTAAATTTGAATTTCCTTTCGGTTAGTTCGTACGGCTTGATTGAATGTCCATATATTCTGATATTCATGACCTTTTTAGTCTTTACTCTTTAGAGGCTCAGAGTTCCATGAGAGGAAAAAAAGAATCTGGACATTTAACCAATCCACAATTACCAAATCAAACCGAAATAAGTGAAAGGAAATTTCATGGTATACATTAATTATTTAATTACATTAACAGTAAAATTAACATGTTATTTACTTGGTAATTAATATGTTTCTTCCTTTATGATGGATGATGTAGAAACACAACTATTCTCTTAAACCCTAACCAGTAACATTTTGCAATTCCAACTGGTTGGTTGAACAAGACATCATCTAATCAAGGACATGTCACATGATTGTCTAGCTAGGGCATAAAAACTGCTCAAAGACACAAAAAAAAAAAAAAAAGATGATCTCTGTTACATAAACAACCTCACATTGAATCATCAGAATCTTCTGATTCACTTCTCTCCGGCTCAACTTGTGCTGGATTATTATCATTAGTATTATTGTTAGTCCCCGTCTCAGGCGCTTCAGGCTTTTCAACAGGTGTAGCAGCAGGTGAAGAAGAAGACACTTTCTTATTTCCATTACTAGCATTCTCGGTCGCTACTGTTTCTTCTTGCTCATTTACCTAAACACACACACAGACAAAATCATGGTAAATTGGATTTACTTAACTCTGATAATTGTACCAAACAGAGTAATAAAAGAAAAGCTTACGTTTTCGACAGTTCCGCCACTCAAGATGTTAAGCAAGTCTCTCTCAACCCTCTGTACAAGCTCCGGCTGCAACATTTTTTTGTCAATCAAAGAAGATTCAATCACAACTTTCAAACTAGATAACCTGAAACTCTAATTCTCATTCCTAAGGATCAATAGCATTTCTTTTGACAATCAAAGAAGATTCAATCACAACTTTCAAACTAGATAACCTGAAACTCTAATTCTCATTCCTAAGGATCAACAGCTTTTCTGAGAACAAGAAGAAAATGGCAAATTACATTAAGGTCAGGCTCTCGACGAAA